GGCCAATCTGCGAGGGCCCCCAGGCCGGGCAAACTCGCCCGCTGCGGGAAGAAACAGGCGCTCCCTTGCCCAGGCAGCGCGGCTGGAGGCGCGGTGGTCTTCGCGTGGCCCTCTCGGCGACGCAGGCGCGGACTCCGTGCCGCTCGACCTTGGGATGCCCGCGCTGGCGCCTTCGCCGCGTCGGTGCTGCGCGAATCGCCGCCCCCCGCTCCCCCAAACCCCCTATCGAGGTTGATGGGCAAATTCTCCACCACCACAACCAAAGGATGGGGAGGTCCTCCTCCTCCTCCTCCTCCTCCTCCTCCTCCTTCCCCTCCTCCTCCTCCTAAGCATCTTTCTCCTCCTCCTCCTCCTCCTCCACCTCCTCCTCCCTCCTACCTACGGCAATGGTGGTGGAAAACTGGCCGATCAGAGGTAGCCGAGTCGCCGAGGGCGTCGTCGCCGCCGGCGTCGTCGTCGGAGGGTCCTTGGGAGCTCTCTGGCCTGCACCGCGCCTTCCGCGGAGGCCTCCGCGGGCCTCCCCGGAGGCGCTCGGAGAGGCCTCTGGAGGCGGCGTCGTCGTCTTACGTTGTCCTCGTCTGTCGTCGTCGTCGTCGTCGTCGTTCCTCGGCGTCGTGGTCGGCGCGGTCGTCTTCGTATTCGTTGTACATCATTGTCGTCGTCGTCGTCGTCGTCGTCTCCGTCTTCGTCGCCCACAGTCTGTCGTCATCCTCCGTCGTTGTCGTCGGTCGTCGTCGTGGTCGTAGGGCCGAGGACTCACGGCGGATCTTCTCTACAGTGAGCAAGAGTCGTCGTCGGTGTCGCCGCCAAAGATGACCATATGGGGCGAGCGTCGCGTGCCCAACAACTGCGGCTGATGATTTTGAGCAGAACTGTTGGGCATCTTCCGCCTCATTCCCGTCCGATTTCGGGTGTGCACACCAAATAAGAGAGGGAGTGGGCTGCCTGATGCAGGTGCGGTTGGGCTTGTTGTTTTGTTGATGTTGCGATCGCCCGACTTCTTTGTATACGAAATGGGCATTCGCCTGTCTACAATCAGTACACATGCGTGTACATGCATGTAAACACGTATTGACGTGCATGCGTATGCACACATATCTATACATATATACGTATGCGGGGGGAGGGGTCGGAGGAATTTTCCTCCGCCTCCGCACCTTCCAGCTCTTCGCTTGTCCATTGTAGCGGCCCTTTGCTGGTCCCACATCGCCGACCAAAAGAACAAAATGATCGGCCGCGCGGGCATTGGCACGAACACTGCCCGGGTCATCCACCACGCACGGTCATTCAGCGGTGTCGCGAAGCGCCCTTTCAACATGCAAATATCTACTTCTGGTGTCTTGTCATCTGCCACAGAGTTTCTCGCGCCGGATCTTGACGGGGGTTAGACGGGACTCACGTCGAAGTATTTGAGATCCGAGTTCGCCGAAAGCACGGCAAAATGTCGCTGAGCCTATACCTCCAAATATCTGTCCTATTCGAATGCCATGTGTCATATATCCGCATCCTCTCCTGCGGGGTGTCGGTGCGCTTGGGAGTTGCTCCCAAATGCCTGGAAGTCTTCCTGAGACTGACGCTGACATGATCAACAAAACGAAACTTGATATCTTGAGAACAGAAAGGTCGACTCGTCGAAAACGCGGTCACTGGCATCGGCAAACAATCACATCGGATCGCGTAGCGATCTCTTCCCAAGCGTGGTGTAATCCAAACCGTGCTTCACCAAACCTGGTACGCGTAACGGTGGTTAGGAGATGGGTGGCTCGACGTCTGTCCAGCTTTTGGGAATCATGCCCCTCAGCCTCCTCCTCCTCCTCCGCCTCCTCCTCCGTCCTCCTCCTCCTGCTCCGCCTCCGCCTCCGCCTCCTCCTCCCTCCCCCTCCCCCTCCTTCTCCTCCTCCTCCTCCTCCTCCTCCTCCTCCGCTCGAAACATGTTGTGAGTCGCAACGCTGGCGAACGCTCATCGTGTTCAGAGCGGCAGGCCAGCACGCGGAAACGCTATAGCTCAGTCAAAACAAGCACACGCACGAGTTCGCGCACGAGCACGCGCACGTGCACGCGGACGCGCACGCGGACGCGCACGGACGCGCGGACACACGGACGCACGCATGCGCCCAGGCACACACACACAAGCACAGACACACGAAACACACACACACAGACATACAGACACACACAAACACACACACACACACATTCATACACACATTGACTCACACGCACACACACATTCATACACACATTGACACACACGCACACACACACACTTCGGGCGGTCGCTGGGCCAAGTGAGGCTACCAAGGAGTCGGCCCTGGAGAACTGGCCGGCGCAAAGGGGTGGGCGCCGGGCCGCCGCGCGGGGAAGCAGCGGGCAGCAGGAGGCAGAGGCGGGGAGCAGCGGGCGGCGGCGCCAAACTGAAGGGGCCCACAAACACACGAATACATACACACAAATAATAAGATTCCCCATTTTTTCCCCACGTTTTCGGGGTGTCTGTCTTCCCCCCCCGCTTCCCATATTTTCCCACCTTTTCCTGGGAGGGGGGCGACTAATTGTGTCCGTGTGTGTTTTTTTCCCTCCCGACGAACGGACGCTGGCCGGCGGATGGCCAGCAGCAGCAGCGGGGCCAGGCACCCCAACGATCCTCTCGGTGAGGCCGTCGTTGTCGATCCGAAGGCGGCGTGAAGAGACGATGCCCAAATAGACAAGCGCGTTCCACGATTCGCTGAGGAAGCACTCGCAAATGGCCTGGGTCCGCCGCGCGGGATCTGCGCCCCACCACATCGAGACAGACATTTGCTTTTCTGACGTTTGCGAGCAGGCGCTCTGCGAGTAGTGGAACGCGCTCGGTGATTCTAGAGGTGGAGCGCCGTGCCGGTCGGGCAGTCGTTGCGTCGACGCTGGACGACAACCCGAATGGTGAGGGCGCAGCAGCACGCGGCGTGCTGTGCGGCTGACAGCGTCGACAGAGCCGACGGTGCTGCCGAAGCGGACCGGGAACGGGGATCCAAAGCCGGGTGCTCCGGAAGCCTGGTCACGCCATGGATCCTCACGGCGAGGTCGGCGCTGTTGATCCGATGGCGGCGTGAAGCACGGGCGAAAGAAGGCAGGAACAAGCTGGGGCTAGAGGCCTCCCAGAGATGACCGCCGATCTGGACAGACCGACGGGGCAGAACAGAGGCGGTGCTGGCGCGCAAACACACAACACGCCAGCAAACACGCTTTTGGTGGTCGCGGCCTCGCACGCAGCGACAAAGTGGAACACACATTTACACACACACACACACCCGCACACGCCCAGGCCAACGCAAACGCACACGCACACGCAATCACACACAATCACGCACACACAAACACACACACACACACACGCGCGCGCGCCTACTTCGCTTTCGCGCCCAGGGGGGGCGCCTGGATTGCCAACTCACTGGAGGTACCATATGCGGGTGATCCTGCATGTCATTCCCAACTCCAGCCTCAATCATGCATGCTCTCTTGCACCTGGGACCAAGCCTGGCTCCAGGATAGCTCTTCGAGAGCTAAGACGGTTCCAGATTCAGAAGCCGGAGCCGCAAGGTACCCCCCCGGAGGTCGTTCCGGCTTCCGGCAAGACACCTCGGCGCGCGCCCTGCTTGAGCCGGCAGCGGGTCCCGAGAGGCCTTTTCTAAGCGTTCCCCGTCACGCGTGCCTTCGGAAGCTCTCCGGAAGATCCTGGGGAAGCTCTCTCCAGGTCCTTCCAAGGTTCTTCGACAATCCTTTCCACGCTCTTCTGGCGCACTGCTATCCGGGTACTGGACCCCACAAGCGTCTGGACCTCGAAAACATGGATTTACACACATGTTCGTCGCCCGTTACCGTGTCCTTCGACGGAATCTACTCCAAATCGAACTGCGGGCTCTTTGGGTCTCCCATTGGGCCAGTTTCCCATCCCCGAGAGTGATACTCGGAACAGCTCTGGGCCCCAGAAACAACCGCTGGGCACCCCGAAACACTTTGGCTCCCCCACTCGTGGTCCCTTCGCGTGGCCGGCTGCGGACTCCCCACGGTGGCGGCCAGACTCGGAGGCATGCCGCCGTGCTCGCCCCACAGGGGCGACCACAGCGCAAGGCTCGGGGGCCCGTCATGCGAAGCCGCTCCGTCTCGCGGGGTGCTATCACAAGCTAGTCTTAGGTCGGGCATGTTCTCCAACCGGCAGATTTTGGGGCGAACAATAAAAATATGGGAAAAAACTACCACCAAACTGTCCAACAATAATCTAAACAAACTCAGAGTATCGCCTCCGTGTTTTCTGTTTTTTATTTTTTAAGAAGGAACACAAACAAAACAAAATCAAAAGCACTAGTTTTGAACATTCCCCCTTTGATGGGACACGCCCGACTTAAATCTAATCGTCACGCGTTCGCTGGAACAGCTGGGACGGCACGGCCCGAAGAGCATGCCTAGAAGAAGAAGAAGAAGAAGAAGAAAAATAGGAAGAGAAATAAGACAAACGCCATGAACATAAACATTTGGTGCTCCGCGCGGATTCTTGGATCTGCGCTGGGACCCCCAGGCGGCGCCTCCGGCGCCGCCCCTGGCGCACTCCGCGCACCAGGGAGAGGGGACCAGCGCAGATCCACGATATCCGCGCGGAGCGCCATGGCTTTTTAAACGGTTCTTCGGACGCCGCTGCCTCCCGCTCCCAAACTCATGAGCGAAACGAGCACGACCAACACGCTCCCGCCGTTGTCACGTTGACGCTCGAAGCGTGCGGTCATGGCACTCTTTGATCGAGCCACTCAGGTCATGTAATGATAGGGTCAGGGAATTTGAAAAACGGCCCCGGACTTAGAACATCCCTTTTTTTGAATTCAATAAACCAGGTAAACCAGTTCTGACGTTTACTAAATAATGCTTTGCCTTGTTTTCATTAGGCGGCGCGATTTGATAAATCCGTTTCTCGCTTTAGTGAACCCTCGCCGTTAGGAAGCCATCGCCTTTTGTTTAAGAATGCGCGTTCATTGATTACCATGGCCCATGTTAGCCAATGAATCTTGGCCCCTCCCGATCCACCTCGCACGCCCCGATGTTTCTCGCGGCGGGCGGGCCCGCTTCGGAGGCGCCGGCCGGCAACAGGAGGCGCGTGACGGGCCCTCGGAGCTTATGCCGAGGCCCGATCAGGCCCGCCCTACGCCTCGAGGTGGGAAAGGAGTATGGTAATTAGAAAGGGGTGTGGTGCTAACTTTCATGTGAAGGGGAATCTGGCGCTGTGATCTATCGCAGATAACATCGCCATTTCCACGAGCGGCGCCACACCCCTTCATGCCACACCCCTTTCCGACCTCCAGGCTGCGCTGGTGCCAGGGGCTGGCCCGAGCGGCCGGTGCCCCTCCCGGGAGGCAGCTCTCGCGAAGTTTGCCTGCGCGCCCGTGGGGCACCGCGCCCGTCGGCTGCCAGAGGTGATCCTGGCCCCATGCGCCCGGAGCTTCCCACGCCGTTCTGGGGCCCTCTGGGGCCGTCTGCGCATCGTGAAAGTCTCAGATCGGGGCGTCGCCGTTTCGTCACACCGGCTCTTTCGCCTGCTTTCGAAACCACGGGAACCTCACAGGTCCATCCAGCTCGCACCCACGTCGAACCATCTGGGGTGGCCCGCGATCGCTCGGCCGGCCGAATCTGGCTGCAGCCCACGAGAGGGGGCTCCTCCTCCTCCATTTCCTCCTCCTCCTCTTCCTCTACGTATCCTCCTCCTCCTCCTCCTCCTCCTCTTCCTCCTCCTCCTCCTCCTCCTCCTCCTCCTCCTCCTCCCTCCCTCCCTCCCTCCCTCCCTCCCTCCCTCCCACTCCTCCTCCTCCTCCTCCTGCTCCGCCTCGTCCTCGTCCTCCTTCTCATCATCATCATCATCATCATCATCATCATCATCATCATCATCATCATCATCATCATCATCATCATCACCACCACCACCACCACCACCACCACCACCACCACCACCACCACCATCATCATCATCATCATCATCATCATCATCATCATCATCATCATCATCATCATCATCATCATCATCATCATCATCATCATCATCATCTCTCCCTCCTGCTTCTCTCCTCTCCTCCTCATCCTCCTGCTCCCTCGTCCTCCTCCTCCTCCTCCTCCTTCCTCCTCCTCCTGCTTCTCCTCCTCCTCCTTCTCATCCCTCCTCCTCCTCCTCATCATCATCATCATCATCCTTCCTCCTCCTCTCCTCCTCCTCCTCCTCCTCCTCTTCCTCCTCCTCCCTTTTTCCTCCTGCTGCTCCTCCTCCTCCTCCTCTTCCTCCTCCTCCCTCCTCCTCCTCCTCCTCCTCCTCCTGCTGTCGCCTCCTCTCTCTTCCTCCTCCTCCTCCTCCTCCTCTTCCTCCTCCTCCTCCTCTTCATTCCGCCTCCTCCTCCTCCTCCTCCTCCTCCTCCTCGTTCTGGATTTTGTATTTTGTGTCCGCGTCATCGGATCTCAGGGGGGCTACTCTGGAGGCCACCTGTGGGTGAGCCTCGATGAGAGCCTCTGTAGACCTCCACGTCCCCATCACAAACGTGGTTCCGACTGGATTCTATCCAAATTTCTAACACCCCTCTCCACGAAGACTCCTCACCCTTCCGTCCAGATTTCGCCCACACGTCGACGAAATCCGGCAAAATCCCAAAACGACCCCCCCCCCAAATCGCGAGGGCTTCTCAAACCCTCCGAGGCTCCCGTGGAAGACCACACAGGGGCTGCTCTGGAGGACGCCCGGACCACCTCCGGCCAGGGCCACGTCTGAAAAACGCCCGAGCTGGGGAGCCAGCCGCGCTGGTGTCGCGCAGACTCGTGACTTGCAGTGCACTTGGAGGATCCCGCGGTGGAGGCGGCCGAGGGTCTGACCTGGTCGGGATCTCAGAAAATCGGTCAGGAGGGGGAGGTGAAGCCAAATCTGATCAGAATGACCTCTCTTGGGGTCCATCTGGTGTAGTTGTTCATCCTGAATACATGTGTTGACAGCCCCGTGGCTTGTACATGTCCTCCAGACGCCGAAAAACGGCAACTGCACCAACACAACCATCAACAACAACACCACCACCACCACCACCAAAACCACCACCAACAACAATAACAAACACTCCAACAATACGTTTGAGACTGTTCGCTCTTATCTACTCGCGGGCCACTCAACACGAATATCAAAAACCCTTGGGACTGGCCATCTTCGCGTTCGAGCGGGGCCCCTTGGGGGTAATCTTTTTTTACCAGCAGTGTATATTTCGTGCAGACTCATGGCAAGGGAAGAGAGGACGGATGGAAGGAAGGGACAAGGGGCCGGGAGGGGGATGGATCACGAGAGAGAATGGCAGGAGGGGGGCTAAGAGCAGAAAACACGTGGCAGAACCACACGGGCAGATCGGGCGGGTAGACCCTGACGGGCGGGTCGGGAAGGAAGGTCCAGGCGGCCAGGTCGATCAGGCGGGTTGCTGAAGCGTGCGTCCTGCATGAATCGCGAGGAACTCTCGGGCGATAGCGCGATTACCAGATGAATTTTGAGGAATGCACAGCGAGAGCGTGATTCCTGCATGTCGACGGCATGGCGTCTGAATAGATTGCGCGGCCGTCCCACGTGAGAGCGCGATTCCTGCATACGTTGTGCGGAAATTCCGCGCGAGAGCGCGATTTGGGAATACATTGCAAGGAAATGTCAGGCCGAAGCCGTTGAACTCTCATTTCTGCAGAATTATTATTGTTGACCCCCCCAACCGGTGCATACTGTTTTTTTCTAAATCAAAGTGTGCCCTTCGACGCTCGCACCCTGTTGACTTGACAGGGAAAGTCTTGATGCTCAAACTGAGCCCCTGGCCCCCGGGTTACAACAACAACGGCTCCCGCCTTAGACTTCCTCACGATTTAGCCAGGACCCCCGCTCCCGCCCGAGACTTCCTCGCATTGTATTTCAAGAATCGCGCTCTCGCTGAGGATTTCCTTAACATTTATTCAAGAATCGCTCTCCCGGCGCTCTGGAGTCGCGCTCTCGCTGGAGACTCGCTTGCAATTTACTGACGAGTAGCGCCCTTGCGTTGGAATGTCTGGTAATTTGCTCAAGTGCCGCGCCCCCGACACCCAGGCACTCAGGAGTCGCGCTCACGCTTAGGACCCCCTCGCAGATTACCTAAGAATCGGGATATCGCTGCCCTTCTTGGCCCCGTTGCACCGCTCCCCTTCGTGGCCCCGTTGCAGCCCTTCGTGGCCCCCTCGCTTTGTTTCGTGGCCCCGTTGCAGCCCTTCGTGGCCTCATCGCTGCCCTTCGTGGCCCCGCTGTCGCCCTTCGTGGCCCCCTCGCTGCCCTTCGTGGCCCCGTTGCAGCCCTGCGCGGCCCCCTCGCTGCCCTTCGTGGCCCCGTTGCAGCCCTTCGCGGCCCCCTCGCTGCCCTTCGTGGCCCCGTTGCAGCCCTTCGTGGCCCCGTTGCAGCCCTTCGTGGCCCCCTCGCTCCCCTTCGTGGCCCCGTTGCAGCCCTTCGTGGCCCCGTCGCTGCCCTTCGTGGCCCCATCTATGTATGCTTTTCGTGGCCCCGCTCGTTCGCGCCCGTGGTGGCCCCATATGCATGCCCTTCGTGGCCCCGCTCTCGCCTTTCGTGGCCCCCTCGCTGCCCTTCGTGGCCCCGTTGCTGCCCTCAGTGGCCCCGTCCTTGCCCTCTCCGGCCCAACATACGCGTTCCCTTCGTGGCCCCCGAGCGTTCGCGCCCGTTGCGGCCCCATGTGCATGCCCTTCGTGACCCCGCTGTGGCCGTTTGTGGCCCCCTCACTGTCCATCGTGGCCCAGTTGCTACCCCCAGTGGCCCCATCGTTGCCTTCTGTGGCCCCGCATTATCTGCCCTTCGCAGCCCCCGCTCGTTCGCGCTCTTCGTGGCCCCATACGCATTCCCTTCGTGTCCCCGCTGTCGCCCTTCGTGGCCTAGTTCGTGTCCTTCGTGGCGCTGCTGTCGTTCTCTCTCGCCATCGCTTTCGTTCGTCGTCGTCGTCGTCGTCGCCGTCGCCGTCGCCGTCGTCGTCGTCGCCGTCGTCGTCGTCGTCGTCGTCGTCGTCGTCGTCGTCGTCGTCGTCGTCGTCGTCGTCGTCATCGTCGTCGTCGTCGTCGTCGTCGTCGTGGTCGGTCCCCTGTCCGTCCCTCCCGGGGTCGGGTCGTCGGTCCGCGGCCGCCCCGCCGATCAGCGCTGCCGCTGGCCAGGCCGACGGTCCGCGGCCGCCCCGCCGCTTGCCGAGGCCCGGCCTGCAGAGACGGATGGAAGGAAAGGGCAAGAGAGAAGGAGGAGGATGGAGCACGAGAAAGAGTAGCAGGACGGTGGCTAGGAGTTGAAGCAAGCACGTGGCAGAACCAGACGGGCAGATCGGGCGGATAGACCCTCACGGGCGGGTCGGGAAGGCGGGCCCAGGCGGCCAGGTCGAGCAGGCGGGTTGCTGAAGCGTACGTCCTGCATGAATCGCGAGGACGTCTCGAGCGATTGCGCGATGTCCAAATACATCGTGGACAAAATCCACAGCGAGAGCGTGCTTCCTCAGTGTCGAGGGCGCGGCGTGTGAGTGAATGGCGAGGAAGTCCCACGCGAGACCGCGATTCCTGTATACAGTGCGAGGACATCCCGCGAGTGCGATTTTGAAATACACTGTGAGGAAGCACCAAAGGCGGGAATAGCTATTGTTGGAAACCGGGGGGGGTGGCAGGGGCTCAGCCTGGTGGCCCCTTCGCTTTCCTGACAAAAAAAACAGGGCGCGAGCCGCGGGAGAAGCGCTATAACTGAAACATAAAATGGCTATCGGAGAGTGGGGGGGATCCTCGAGACGTATTCTGTAGATCGGGAAATTCAAAAACGTCAACAACAACGACAGCGACGGCAACAAGAACAGCCCTCATTTCAAGACTGTTCGCTTGTACATGCTCGCGCGAATCTCATTCTGTGTGCCCAAATCCTCGATGCCCGCCCACTTCGTCTTCGATCGCACCCCCTTCCGGGGGGAACATATGGTCCAGGGTCTGGCCCTCCCCCCCGTCATACTGATGCCGTCGGTCACCCCCCTGGGCGCGATGCCCCCCCCCCCACACCCATTGTGGGCGTGATGTGGCGGGGTCTACCCCTGTGGCCGTGCGGTGGTGGGTATGGCGCTGGTGGGTGGTGGTGGTGGCTGTTGTAGGGGTAGGAGG